GAAGGAGGGAGGAGAGGACTTCAGGTCGAGAGGTAGCATGCCTACAGCCTGGAAGCAAACGAGCAGGGGTTCTGAGCCCCGGCTGTGCACCCCATTGTGCATGGGAATCATCCACAGAATGTGGGTGCTGGGATCCCACCTGACCCACTGGATCAGCATCACCTAGGTAGGAGTAGGGCCCAGGCAGGTGTGTTTTAAATTTTTGACAGGTGAGCTGATGCATAGCCAGGTGAGATCTACGGAGATGGAAGCTGGATGGTTTGGAAGCACTGAAAATAGTTTGCTGTGGCTGGAGCGTGGAGCTGAAAGGCACAGTTTAGAAATGAGGCTTCAGAGTTATTTTTTTTTTTAAAAGACGGTGAGAGGTGTCTGAATCCTGAAGGACTGTGTTAACCCTATTTGGGAGTCTGGACGGCAGTCTGGAGGCAGTGGGGGCAGGGATGAAAAGGCATCTGCATTTTAGAAAGATTTCTGGTTGCAGGGTGGAGAATGGATTGGAAGGGGGCGAGCATGGAGCCAGGGAGACCAGGGCAGAGGGTGCTGGGGAGATGATGGCTGCCTGGCCCAAGATGGCGCCGTGGAGAAGTGGACAGAGAGATTTAGGAGGTAACACTGTGGAGATGCAGGCACTGATTGCATATGGGATGGTGGCGGAGGCGCCAGAGAACAGCCCAGCTTCCATCTTAAGTAACTAGCAGGATGGAGATGCTGTTTTCAGCTGGAAGATTCAAGAGGCAGAGTCTAGAGGTTTACCTACCAGGTGGGGTTGTCCTGGAAAGTGTGGTTTAATATTTGGTTCATGCTAGATTTGATGCTGCACGTGGGGGTTATGTAAGCTCCGGAAACAATCCCCTCGTCCCTACACACACACACACACACACACACAAAGACATTCCTGATGGATTAATGATGCATCTATCACCTACAGATATAAGTTGGTTCTGATGTAAGTCAAATACCTCTTTTTTTTAAAGTTGTTATTATTATTGCCTTTTATTAT